CATCATCTTACATTTCATACAGTTGACCGTTGACAAATATGATGCAGGGCAACAACTCCATAAATGCAGTTACGCCCTAAAATTCAAGATATTGGTGCAAAAAATGCCCCTTTATGTGTTTTTATCTCATATTTATATCATACAATATCGATATCACACGAGCAGGGAGAGCAGTAGGCTATTACATGAGTGCTGTTTTTGACCCAAATATCACAAGTTTAAATGCGATTTTATACAACAGTTCAGTAAGAAGTTGATATTGTTATATTTTAAAAACAATATTATGTGTTTTTGCCACGGATCTATAATGCAGTAGTCAATATAATATATTACCATTAAAGCCACAGCAGAATTATTGCACGTCTCCGAGCAACACAGCGGTGTTTAGTTTCTTAATGAATCTGTGTTTTGAACGAATCGTGTGATTCAAAGAAACATTCATAAAGAGAGCCCTTTACTTCATTACTGAATGAATCAGCTGTTTGAATGAATCAGCTACTGAAATCAGCTAAACCTGTATTAAGGACTGTAAAAAGATGGATTAATGAAGCAGAGCAGGATTTACAAGCTTGTTTTGACCTCACTGATTGGAGCGTCTTTGAAGCTGCTGCCACCGATCTGGACGAGCTCACAGAGATTGTAACATCTTTTATCAGTTTCTGTGTTAATAATAATAATAATAATAACAATAATGATAATAAAAACATTAAAGGGATAGTTCACCCAAAAAGTTTTAATTCTGTCATCATTTACTCACTCTCACGTCGTTTCAAACCTTTCTTTTGTGGAACATAAAGGAAGGTATTTGGAAGACTGTTGGTACAAAGCTGTTTTGGTTACTAATGACTTTCATTGTACGAACAAACAATACTGACATGTTTCTCAAATTATCTTCTTTTACGTTCCATAGTTTACGTTAGGCCGTTGTAGCCTAAATGTTTGTGTGTAATATATATATATATTTTTTTTTTTAATCAAATACAATATTTCTAAAGCTACAATTTGTAATCTGCCATATGCCTTGTGCTTTATATATATAGATATATTTTTACATTTTACCTTATTTGTATAGTTGTATTTTGTATTTAATCTGTACCTATCTGTATTTATGTTATCTGTATGCACCAAGGGTCTGAGAGTAACGCAATTTCAATTCTCTGTGTGTATGTGCTGTACATGTGGAAGAATTGACAATAAAGCAGACTTGACTTGAGACTTGACTTGACTTGACTAATGTCTGCTTGATACTTTCTCATTTAACAAAAATATCTTTAAATAAACTTTTGTGGTTATTTTCGCAATCTAATTTAATTAGATAAAAAATTTTAATCGACTGACAGCCCTAACATATACAGTATATATATATAATCATTATTATTATTAGCTGTTCATTTATTTTTACTTCAGTTTTAGCTTCATTTTACTTACATTAAACTTATTTTATTTCAGTTAGTTGCCAATGTAACATTTTTAATTGTTTTAATCATTTTTAATAATTTAGTTTTTTTTTGTCTATTATGTTATTTATATTTTATATTTATATTATTTTATTAACTCTTTCCCCACCAGCATTCTTGAAAAAAGTTGCCAGCCACCGCCAGCTATTTTGATGATTTTCACTCAAATTTGATGGCCTCCAGTATATTTTGCTGTATGAATATTTGAATAGACATGGGTTGGGAAAGAGCGCGCGAGAGAGATAAAGGGGGCTCTGGAACGTAAACGTGAGAGTTCGGGAGAATCGCTGTGCTGATGACAGGGCCGTGTTTGAGCCAGAAAGGAGTGAGGGGGGGTTTCAAAATATCCACATTCACATTCAGGGGGTCATCTTTGAAAAGGAAAAGAAAAAATGGGACATGGTAAAAGTACCAAGCGGGCAAAAAAGCAAGCCAATTGCAATGGAGCAGCTCCAGTGCGATAGCTGAGGCATCCAGGCATTCAGGGTGTGCGCTGACTGAAGATCAGGGCCAGAGTCATGTCACACAGAGATGAGAAATGAGAGAGGCTTTTCTCACTGCAGCATGCAAAAAAAGTCATCATTCATAGAGAGCATGCGAGAAATGGGTCAAGCATGATGAGCAGAACTCAAAAAACAGAAAACTGAAACAAACACAAGACAATGATGACACTAAGTGAACAGTGTTTACATACTGATCGTTACATACAGTATAAGCTAGTGATCTTCTATCATTCATTTTGCTCTTTTCTATTTCAAATGCAAAACAAACACTGATTCTACAGCAGCACATAACGGATGGAAAAGCAACAATAGTCACTGTAATGAAATTAAAATGCAGTAGATGTGTTACGGAAAAGAAGCCACGGACACAGAGCAAAGGACATTGACATGTGGCTTCGATGGCCAAGGTCTCCAGTCACAGTGTGACATTCATTCGTGCTATCATTTTTTGTCTGCACTAACCCCCTCTCTATCAGAGACGGGGGCGTGTGAGTCACACAACCACACCTGGTTCTGGATTTTGACTTACTTTCTGCCTCGTGTTGAGTTATAACTCCCTCCGTATTTCTTCCGATTAAGGATGAGAGCAGCAATTTCTGGCACGTAGCGAGCAAACATGGCCTACATGCATGGAACAGAAAAAGAAAAGTGCATGCAAAGAGGGGTTCTGCTGTGACCAAAGCCACAGTGGCACCTGGAATACTTACTTTCTGCCATTTACCGCACTATAGGAACCACCATATTTCTTGCGGTTTCCTATTAACTCTATGATTTCAGGGACGTAGCTGGCAAACATGGCCTAAGGAGAAGATAGGAGACAGAAGCAGAGGCTAAAAAAGACAGCGGAAAGACCCGTTCGAGTCTGGACATTTTTCCCCCAACCTCTGAGGCGCAGAAATTGACGTGTTTGGTCCAAAAACAAAATGATGTAGCTTGGTAAATTGTCAATTTTTTGTTTGTTTGTTTTCTAATTTAAATAATAAGCAAAAAATACTTTAAAAATGTATAAATGTCCATTGTGCTTCTAAAAAGATCTGAAAGAAAAAAATTCAAATTGAGGGGAAAATGGAATAATGGACAAAAGGCCAACTTTGGAGATACTCCACTGGTTTGGAGACACATAAAAAAAAGTTTGTCGTGCTGTCAATCCGGCTTAGTATTTGCCCTCAAATTCAGATGATGAAAGCCGGACGTGACCGTGGGCCTGTTTCACGCTGCGAAATGGGTTGGGAAAGAGCGCGCGAGAGAGATAAAGGGGGCTCTGGAACGTAAACGTGAGAGTTCGGGAGAATCGCTGTGCTGATGACAGGGCCGTGTTTGAGCCAGAAACAAGTGGGGGGGTTTCAAAATATCCACATTCACATTCAGGGGTCATCTTTGAAAAGGAAAAGAAAAAACGGGACATAGTAAAAGTACCAAGCGGGGCAAAAAAGCAAGCCAATTGCAATGGAGCAGCTCCAGTGCGAGAGCTGAGGTATCCAGGCATTCAGGGTGTGTGCTGACTGAAGATCAGGGCCAGAGTCATGTCACACAGAGATGAGGTGAAGGGCCAGCAGTGACGCACAGCCAGAGAGGCTTTTCTCACTGCAGCATGCAAACTAAAAAGCCAACATACGTCCATTCACAGAGAGCATGTGAGAGATGGGTCAAGCATGATGAGCAGAACTCAGAGAACAAAAAACTGAAACAAACACAAGACAATGATGACACTAAGTGAACAGTGTTTACATACTGATCGTTACATACAGTATAAGCTAGTGATCTTCTATCATTCATTTTGCTCTTTTCTATTTCAAATGCAAAACAAACACTGATTCTACAGCAGCACATAACGGATGGAAAAGCAACAATAGTCACTGTAATGAAATTAAAATGCAGTAGATGTGTTACGGAAAAGAAGCCACGGACACAGAGCAAAGGACATTGACATGTGGCTTCGATGGCCAAGGTCTCCAGTCACAGTGTGACATTCATTCGTCCTATCATTTTTTGTCTGCACTAACCCCCTCTCTATCCGAGACGGGGGCGTGTGAGTCACACAACCACACCTGGTTCTGGATTTTGACTTACTTTCTGCCTCGTGTCGAGTTATAACTCCCTCCGAATTTCTTCCGATTAAGGATGAGAGCAGCAATTTCTGGCACGTAGCGAGCAAACATGGCCTACATGCATGGAACAGAAAAAGAAAAGTGCATGCAAAGAGGGGTTCTGCTGTGACCAAAGCCACAGTGGCACCTGGAATACTTACTTTCTGCCATTTACCGCACTATAGGAACCACCATATTTCTTGCGGTTTCCTATTAACTCTATGATTTCAGGGACGTAGCTGGCAAACATGGCCTAAGGAGAAGATAGGAGACAGAAGCAGAGGCTAAAAAAGACAGCGGAAAGACCCGTTCGAGTCTGGACATTTTTCCCCCAACCTCTGAGGCGCAGAAATTGACGTGTTTGGTCCAAAAACAAAATGATGTAGCTTGGTAAATTGTCAATTTTTTGTTTGTTTGTTTTCTAATTTAAATAATAAGCAAAAAATACTTTAAAAATGTATAAATGTCCATTGTGCTTCTAAAAAGATCTGAAAGAAAAAAATTCAAATTGAGGGGAAAATGGAATAATGGACAAAAGGCCAACTTTGGAGATACTCCACTGGTTTGGAGACACATAAAAAAAAGTTTGTCGTGCTGTCAATCTTTATTTTCTCTGACAGCACAAAAAACTGTCTTCAGAGAAGGAAGAGAAAAAAGAAAAAAAAACCTACATGCCATGTTTTGTCCAACAAACACTAATGCAAGTGGCAAGTGGATTTGAATAGTCCAGTCTGATCGCCCACAGCTGCAAAGAACATTAAGACTCATTAGTGTGCTTTAAATGAGCTGGATGCACTTTGCAAGATTGCAGCCTTGACAAAGTTCTGTTTTATCTCCATGCTGTGTGTTACTATGGATCTTAATCCCCGAGTTGTCAGTCTGACCTCCCGAAGAGAGTTGTGAGAGGTTCTTCACCTCTCTCTAGGGCCCTGATGAATTATGACATCTGCCTGATCAGATCTGACGGTTTACAACATTTCCATACTGAAGTCATTCAATGAACACCTGATATAAAGCAGAGCAGTGATTATTTCCAGCCCTTCTCAAAAACAAAAAGAAATAGCAGATTGCTATGGAAACTTCTGGACAGCTGGAACTTCGTGTCTAGTGCAAGAACTGAAGCACATCTGTCCTGCATTATGTCGATATAAGCTTCACATTAGACCTTCTGAATGCCTGTGGATGATCAATACCTTGGGCAATATATATTGATTCTTGAATCTTTTTTTGAGTCATTTCTTTTTAAACGTTTCTATGAAAGTGTTTCAAAATGATATCATTATTCAAAAAATATTCATTGTAAAATGTGTACACGAGTTACCTTACTGAGCTATTTCTACCTGATCTAAACCATTATTGCAATAGTGTAACCAAATTTATTTAGGTTCAATTTTGGTATTTTACTTCTAAGTATATATAAATATAAGATCCTAGATAATTTTTGTTTTAATCACGGATATGTTGTGTGGTGTATTAGTGGAGGTGATGATCTGTGTTGTGTATATACATGAAAATTGTCTAGTATTTAAATGGAAATGATTGAATGATTTTAGTAACTGATCATTGGCTAATGAACGATGACATCAATATAATTAGTGATTTGAAAAGTGGGTGGAAGGATTGAATTGCTTTGCATACTGAGGAAGGCATTGAGTGGAAACGTTTGTGTCTTTTCCCATTAACGATGAATGTAAAATAAAACGAAAAAAGAAGACTGTTTTCGTGAGTGCGGATCATAATCTCCTACACTAGGTATTTTACTTCTTGCAATCAATCTACTCAGCCACAATAGCAATTTAGTTGAATTGGCATTTTCCACTTAATTATAATTTTACCAAAAACTTCCTGCAAAACGTCTCAGGTTACATATGTAACCATGGTTTCCTGAGTAGGGAACGAGACACTAGGGCCTTTCGCACCGCGGGAACCTTTTCATATTACCAGAACTAATTGTGGAACTACCCACTTTTGGGCGTGTTCGCACTGCCGGAACTGGGTGCGATTTTAGTACCGGACTGCCTTTTTTGAGAACCAAATTAGCTCCTACTCCGGAGCAGGGTCTAACCAGCACAACTGGTACTAATCGTGATGCAATTAGACATTGATTGGCCAAACGCGTATGGAAACGCCCTCACCCGCCATGATTTAAAACGCCGTGTAAACGTACTGTAAACATTGTGTCAACTTATTTTGCAAGTATGGAGAACAGCGATAGATGGACAGACGCTGAAGTGCAGGCACTTGTAGCAAATGTAGCACTGCCAGTTGTCCTTGGAGATTCTTAGTCCTCCTTTTCATTCTTTCAATCGCTTTACGTACACGTCGAAATTCCATGTCCATTATTGTGAAACCTGCGAGACACAACAAAAGCAGCTCCGATCACAGCGTCCTCCATCCTTCTGTTAATGTTGTTCTTCTTTGTTTCTGTTGTTGAACGCCGCGCACAAATGACGTCGCTGTCGACCGGCTTACGTCATTTCTTAGTACACACTGTCGGTGTGAAAGCAACCCTTTAAATGGTACTGAGAAATAGTTAGTGCAAAATCGTCCCAGTACTTTAGTACTGTACATTTAGTTCTGGAACTAAAGCGGTGCGAAAGGTCCTATTGGGGAAGTCGTGGCCTAATGGTTAGAGGTTGTGGGTTCAAGTCTCGTACCGGCAGGGATTGTAGGTG